CCTTTATACTGTCTACTTTGTGCAGCATTTGTCCTTTGGAGTCTCTTGTACTTAATAGGATGATCTTCAGTTTCATTTTCATACAAATGATATTTTTCTCCTTTATAGCTGAACAGAATTCCACTGTGCGTGTATAGGAGCCACATTTTCTTTATTAGTTCATGTTAATGGACATCTAAGCTGCTTCTGTATTTTGGCTGTTGTGGACACAGATGCAGTGAACATGGCCATATAGGCATTTCTGTGTATGCTGACTTTGGTCCCCCTGGAGATATGTCCAAGTGTGGTCAGCTGGATTATGTGTTAGCTCAAAATTTCCTTTCTTTGAGGAGCTCTTCATTTGGTGTAGTGAAACAACTGAAAATCTATGCTCTTAGAAAATGTCAAGTATATCACTCATTACTGTCACTTGGCCACCATGCTGTGCACTAGGCCTCCAGAACTTGCTCACTTCATAATTGGAAATGTAGTCTCTTTGATCAACATCTCCCCATTTTCTTCACCCCTACCCTGTGGTGACTGCCTTCTACTGTCTGTTTCTTGAAGTTGAACCACTTGTAGTTTCCAGATATAAGTGAGATTCTATGTATTTCTGATTTAGTTTTTCTTGGTTGGACTGTCTTCCAGGTTCATCTACACTGTAACAAGCAGTACTTGCTTGCTGTTCTTTTAAACCACATGTTATTGAAAGTTTGTTATGTAGTAGTAAATAATAAGCACAGATTTTGGTATCTAAGGTGCTAACCTAAGAAATGTTTCTGAATTATCAGAGTGGCTGTGGAACTTGGGATAACGCAAATATTCAGAGGACATTAAGTGGGTGTGAAGGAAAGTAAAAGTAAAGATATGTCTGCCAGCAACTTGGTGCTTCCTAAGAAACAGCTGGCAAGGCCTTATGGGAGAAGGAGGAAAATCCTATTGGGAATTCTTTTGCAGCAATAGATAGCTAACACAAGTAGTCATATTTCTCCTTGGAGTGTTTAATGTGGATACATTGAAGTTATGAAACAGATTGCAAGCATGCACTTTTTTTTTTAAGTCATTTAATCTTTGAACTAGTTATTTTTAAGCCTAATTACTTTTCACCATATTGTTGGGAGAGACACTCATGCTTGACCACAGAATAATGACTGTTTGGCAAGGAACTGGTATCTGGGGATTGGTCATAGGTGAATTAGGATCAATTGCTCATGTGAGTGATAGGAATAGGCAGACAGTGAAAAATGATGGAGTATTGTGGAACTGAGTACTAAGAATGTATTTAGAAGCTTAGAATCCCATGAGAGACAAACGGCAAACACTTGCCCAGCACAGGAATCCATGAAATTGAGGAAAAGACAAAAAATGGAATAAATAAATGAATTCCTTAAAGAAAGCCAAGAAGGCTAAGAAAACACAAACAGGTGAAGGAAACAGTTCAAAATCTGAAAACTGAAATAGAGGCAATGAAGAAACCAAAAAAAACGAGGCAATTCTGGAAATGGAGAATCTGGGTAAATGAACAGGAACTACTGATGCAAGTATAAACAAGAGAATACAAGAGATGGAAGAGAGAATCTCTGGTGTTGAAGATATGATAGAAGAAATAGAGGTTTTGGTCAAAGAAAATGTTAAAGCCAACAAAGTCATAAAACAAAATGTTCAGGAAATCTGGGACACCATGAAAAGACCAAATCTAAGAATAATAGGGATAGAAGGAGGAGAAAAATACCAGCTCAAAGGCACAGAAAATATGTGCAACAAAATCATAGAAGAAAACGTATCCAACCTAAAGAAGGAAATGCCTATGAAGATGCAAGAAGCTTACAGAACACCAAATAGACGGGACCAAAAAAATGAAAGTTCTCTTGCTATGCTAATGTTTACCATTGCCTCAGAATAGAATGCCTCCTAGTTTGCGTCTCTACAGGACTAAGCATTTGAATAGGGCTGCACCTGGGCAGAGGTTAGGTGTGTGAGTAACAAGTGAGAACAGAGAGTTAGGATCCATCTAGCAGAGAGGAGTCAACAGAAGGACAGAAATGGCCTCCTCATGGCCATGGAAGCATGGTTAGGGAACAGCCAAGAAGATGCTAAATAAACAAGAGACTCTAGTTTTACAACATGGAACTGAGAGCTCTCTAGAGATGACAAGATGCCTGTGTTTGTCTTTATTTATGTTGGGTTGCTAGGAGCTTTCAAGTCCACATTCCCTCATTCAGGCCAAACCTCATGGCTGTTGTGGTTTGGAGCCGAGACCAGCCGGGTCACGACAGTAGATGGCAGAAAATAATCAAATTGAGGGTTGAAATCAATAAAATAGAAACAGAATAATACAAAGAATCAATAAAGCAGAGTTGGCTCTTAGAGAAAATCAACAAAACCCTTATAACGAAGGGAACAGCTCCCCATTTCGGCAGCCATAACAGCCGAAACACCTGCTTGTCTGACCTTGCCTTAATCACTAAGAGGTTAGATGCCTGCTTCATGGCAAGGAACCAATCAGAAGTTAGCTGGTGGTGCTATGCTTTATGGCTCTGGGTGTGCTTTACGGCAATGATGCGCTGAGCATAGCAACCACCCTGGGAGGGCCTATGGGCCATAACAACCAGTTGGCCAATCAACACAGGGCAAGCCCTCCAAGCCTGGAGGCACACCAATCCTGAGCCTGTGCATACCCCTAGACACTCCCCTTACGCTGCCCTACAAGATCTCTATGCAGCTGGTTCGAGCTGTCTTTTCTAGCCATTCGCCATGGTGGATGGATGAAAGACCCGAGCTAACATGGGGTTAGCTCGTTAAACAACAATAAAGCTTCATGCAGTTTGCATCAAGCTTTTGACTCTGCATGGTGATTGGGGTGGCCGAGGTCCTGGGCTGAGATCCTGGAGGCCTGAGCTTTCCGGGGTCTTACAATAAAAACTAACCAAAAGGCAGAGAGAGAATATTCAAATTAACAAAATCATAAATGAAATGGGGGACATAACAACAGATGCTGAGGAAATCCAGAGAATCGTTAGGGCATACTTCAAAAACCCATACTCCACAAAATTATAAAAACAAAAGAATTGGACCCAGAACCAGAAAGACAAACACTATGTACTCACTCTTAAGTGGATACTAGATTTAAAGTAAAGGATAACCAGACTGCAATCCACAGCTCCAGAGAAGCTAGGTAAGAAGGAGGACCCTAAGGGGATGCATGGATTGCCATGGGAAGGAGAAATAGAAAAGATGTCTTGGGTAACCTGGGGGCTGGTGGGGGAGGTAGAGGAGAGGGGGTGGGAGATGAGAACATGAGGGAAAAGGATGGTTGAGTTGGGGGGGAGAGAGTGGGAAAGCAATGAAAGTGCTATCTTGATAGTGGAAGCTGTTTCTGCGGTTAAGGTGAATGGTAGTACTAGAAAAGTCCCTAGGACTCAACAAGGATGCCTCCAGCTAAGACTCCGAGCAGTAGTGGAGAGGGTGCATGAATTGGCCTTTTCCTATAATCAGATTGGTGAGTACCCTAATTGTCATATTAGAGCCTCCATCCAGTAACTGACGGAAGTAAATGCAGAGATCCATATCCAGGCACCAGGCAGAGATAAGGGAGTCCAGTAAAAGAGAGGGAGGAGGGATTATATGAGAAAGGGGGTCAAGATCTTGGTGGGGAAAGCCACATATACAGCTGACCTGAGGTTGTGAGAGCTCAGGCTGTAGACAGACAGCTGGGGAGCCTCCATGGGACTGAACTAGGCCTTCCGCATGTGTGTGACAGGTGTGTGGCTTGATTGTTTGTGGGGCCCTGGCAGTGGGACCAGGATCTATCCCTGGTGCATGATCTGGCCTTTTGGAGCCCATTCCCTATGGTAGGATGCCATGCTCAGCCAAGTTACAGGAGATAGGGGCTTGGTTCTGCCTCAACTTGATGTGCCAGACTTTGTTGACTCCCCATGGGAGGCATTACCCTTTCTGAGGAGTGGGTGGGAGATGGGGTGGGTGAACTGGGGGGAGCAGGAGGAGGGGAGGGAGGGGGAACTGTGGTTGGCATGTAAAATGAATAAAAAATTTAAAATAAAAAATCGACGTGTTTACTTCTTTTTAAAAAGATTTATTTATTACTATGTACACCGTGTTCTGCTTACATGTTTGCCTGCACACTAGAAGAGGACACAAGATCTCATTATAGATAGTTGGGAGCCACCATGTGGTTGCTTAGATTTGATCTCAGGACTTCTGGAAGAACTGCCAATGCTCTTAACCTCTGAGTCATCTCTTGAACCCTGTGTTTACTTATTTCTAAGTATTGGTGTGCCTTTTGTGTTCACTTATGATAATTTAACCAGGTAGTCATGTGATACTGTGAATATATATAGAAGCTTTTGAAAATTCAGTTTTTCTTCAAATGATTAGGAAAACATACCATTTTCCTATTTATCTTTATGTGACTGCATGCACACATATGTGTGCAAATGGTGCCTATATGTGTTCCTTGTGTAAGTTCAAAATTATTCATGCTATGTTATGGAGATCTGAGGACAACCTCAGTGTTTGTTGCATGTTCCATACTTTTGGAGAGGGTGACAATTGTTCACTGCTGTTTCTGCTGGCTATCTGGCCATGGAGCCTCCAACCCCGTCTGCTCTTATGTGGGTTCTGAGTCTCTGAACTTTGGTTCTGATGCTTGTCTAAGATCCCTCTACCCACTGAGTTCCCACCCAGCCTTTCTAATTCTTATATCTTAATGTTATTCTCTGGTTTTGTAAATATTCTTCAGAACAAACTGGGAGTTACTAGATGCTATTCATACAGTTATGAATGTAGTTTTTCATGAACTTAATGGTATAAAATACTAGCTGAAATAATTTATATCTAAAATTATAGGCTTTATGGAGAAAAAAAGGTTGAAAAGTAAATTACATGTATTTACAAATTGCAAATTGAGGTAATTAGATCCAACATGGTATTTGAGGTCAAGTGATTTTGATATAATAACATTATGTCACTTTTTTTGCATTTAAACTTGACAAAATACTCAGAGGTCACCATAACTGAAGCTTCTGAAGATGACTGTGAATATGAAGAGGTAACTTATTAATTTTACATCTTAGTGTGTTCACTGTAGTCATATGAATGGTTTGTCTTATTTTCTGGAACATATAAGGGCTTTATCTAAGATTAAACTGTTTTGAACAGGTAGCTATTGGCTATTATGAGTAGTTGGGAAAATGCTACTTAAACATTTACACTAGGTGGGACATCTGCCTGTTTTGGTTCCCCCATCACTGTTTAGATTCAGCTCCTGTCACCTCCCTTGTCTGTGGCCTCATAGATGGTCATTCCTATATGGGACCTTCTCCATCATCCAGTTTGCTCTTGACAGGGATTCCAGATTGCCAGCACCAGTTGGATCCCAGGCCTCCTCTTTCTTCTGACCTAATTTTAGTTCTGTAAAACATGCTCTTGTCTCAGCATTTTCCTTTAATTCATTGCTTCTGAGACTTGGATGTCAAGTCACATTTAGATGTCAGAAAGTGAGCAAACCTGTGGAAGCGAACCTGGCCTGTGAGCTTGACAGGCAAGAAGCTTGCTAGTCACACAGACTTAGTTAATCTTTAGAAGCATACAGTGCCCTGCATGGAGTATATTTCTTGGAAGCCTTAGTGTAGGAAGAAATCTTCTGAAATGAAATGTAAGTGTGTCCCTTTATGTTTCCGTATCAGCATTAATTAAAAATGATACTTTTTATTTAGTTGTATAATTTACTTCCTCATTTCAAGAAACCACATGAGACATGCCCAATATTGTACCCTAGTTCTGGCTGTTAATTACCCCTTGTCAACTATAGTCCAAAAATTGGTCTTGAAAACTCCACAAATAAAGAATAAGTTTTAAATGGCTTTATTGGAGTCCCTTTTTATGATTGTTACGTTACTATTATTGTCATTACTAGTCTCTTATTGTGCCTTTATAAATTACACTTTATTGTATGTTTATATGGGAACAATACTAGATGTAATGTTGGAAAGTAACCACAGTTTGAAGCATCTGCAGCATGTCTGAGAATGTATCCTTCATATAAGCAGGGACTGCTGTATGGTACTTGATATTTCTGCCCATTCTTCTGCCCTTGTCTAGATACCAGATGACAATTTCAGCATCCCTGAAGGAGAAGAAGATCTGGCAAAAGCAATTCACATGGTTCAAGAGCAGGCTACAGATGTTCAGATTCTGGTGAGGATTTTGTACACTACTCTAGTTTGTAGTTTAACAGGAATACTTTTTCTATGAAGCTTGAAGATAACAACTCCAAATTATGAAACAGAACACTATAATCTGCTATATCTTTTCACTTCTATTAATTTTCATGAAATACTTAAAGTAAGTGTTATTTTATCCTTTACAATGTCATTCTCCAGACAATGTCTACACTTATACAACTTTCCAGCAAATGATAGCTTCCCTGAGAACTGATTAATACAATAAGAATTAAACAAAAATTATTCAGCACTGTTTTTGAATGGATCAACTACAGATTATGTAGTAGGCTTTGTAAGTATTTTGTATCTTTGTTTTCCTGAAAGTATCCAGCCTGCGTGGAATGTTTAACATTTCATGACACTTTCCTTTCTAGGACATGAATTAATTTTGCTAAGAATAAGAAGAGAAATTATATGTGGTTTTCATACAAATTAAACTAAATAAGAGTCTTGACATCATCTTTATACCATTGAAAAGAATAATAAAAAACTGACCATGATTTACTGATGTTAAAAATATTTACAATACCACACTAACATTAATTTAAAAGAATGTTTTTTATTTAGTTGGAAGTTTAGCTTCTTTGGTGCAAGATGGTCCATTAGACTTTTCCCTTCTTATACCCTATTTCAGTCTCTCTGTATTTAGTGGACTTTTTTTTTCTAGGAATCTATTGAATTTTCCAAATGCCTATATACTTAACAATTGAAGAAACTGAAAAGGAAGGATTCATGATTGACAGTTGTTTAGATTCTGTTATGAGTGCAGTGATTTAGTGCATAATTTTGTTATAAAATGTTTTCTAATGAACTCTCCTTCTAGGAGACACAAAGTGGGGTTTTCTATATAGACCTAGTAGTTTTTTGGATATCTCAATGCTGGGATTTATGTGGAAAAAATACAGCCTTTGGGATAAAGTAAAAGGCACATTTATTCACTGATCATCTTGACTCTTTTTATTTTGTTAATAGATACCGTGGTTTGAACTCTGAATAAATGTGTTGTATTATATTTACAGTGATTCTTGAGGGCATGGACTGGAAGGTAATGTTATTGATCTAATTTAGTTATACTTCATACTATAGTCTTTTCTAAGTGTTAACATAAATAGCTACAGATATATGTATCTATGGGTATATGTAGGCATGAACACATGTATTTCTGTGTGTGTTTCCTTGGAGATGGTCATTTTATAATTTTATAAAACGAAAGGTTTGCTTACAATTAAGTTGAGTTTCCTTTTCTAAAGTGTGAGTTTTCTTACAAGTTTATTATTATAATTTTTGAAAATTTTAGTTTCTTTAATTCTTATTTATTTTACTATCTTTACTGCTAACATATCTGTAATAGCTTCCAATTTTTATAAAATTTGAACTTTGATTTTTAAAGATTAAAATAAAATAACAGTTAAATTTCTGACATTTTGGGCTTCATTTTCTCTTTACTATTGCTCCTTCTCTAAAACATTCAGTAGAATAAGGTAATTTTTTTGAGAATGTTTATGTAATTTTTGAGACGTCAATTGATGACTAACACAAGCCACAGTGTTGCATGCTTATCAGTTCCCAGAGTGCAATGGAGATGGGACAGTGCCACTCCTCTCACTCATTTTTTATTCGGTTTTGGAAAGCATATTTACTTTTCTTAAGATATGTATGTTAGTATATAAAAGTTTTATTGCTGGCAGGGCATGGTGGCACATGACTTTAATCCCAGTACTCAGAAGCCAGAGGCAGGAAGATCTCTGTGAATTTGAGGTCAGCCTGGTCTACAGAGTGAATTCCAGGACAGCCAAAGTTACATTGTGAGACCCTATCTGGAAGATTACAAAAAGATTTATTGTAATTAATTGCGGTGGCGAACAATAGTAGCTTATATTGAAAAGGTACAGGCAGGAGGATCATGAGTTGAAAGCCAGCCTGGGCTACATTATAAAAGATGTTTTATCATAATTATGATAAAACAATAAGAATTTAGATTTCAATTTCTCATATGACAACTCTTGTTAAAACTCACATAAACAATCTCTCTGGAGTTTCCTTCATTTCCCCTCTAAAAATGTTTCCAAATGAAAATTCAGCTTTATCTCTTTCTTTTTAGTATTTTTTTAAATTGATTCATTGGGAATTACACATCATACACCCCAATCTCACTCATTTCCCAGCCCTTTCACCATTGTAGCCCCTCTCCCCAGAAATAAAAAAAAAAAAATGCTTGTCCATCTTTCCTGTCTTGCCAGCACGTTATTTCACTGTAGTGACCTTGGGAGCTGCAATGTGTCATGCAATGTACCCTTTTGCTCAAACAGTTTTACTTGCAAATATTAATTGCACTGAATTGTTGGTCTCTCCCCCCTTTTTTGTATCCTGGGGAGGGCCCTTTTTCTTAGACATGTCCTTCCTTTTTTGAGCTCCTAATCTCTCATCTCGTTCGGTTTCTGATATATTATCCTGTACCTCTTTAAGCGTTTCTTGACTCTCTGCTACCGTGGGACGGCAAGCCTCATTCTCTAGACGGTTTTTAATTAGGTCTCTCTGTTTTGAAGAGCCCATTATGCTGGCGGCTACCTGGGGTAAGCTTGGTCTCGAACTGAAACACCAGCCACGATGAGCACAATGTAAGACCAATATGAACAAAAGAATCAAGACTAGAGTTAAGGCTTCTACTAACCCATCCCATGGTGGTGACAAATTAAGGCCAAAGTAAAAAAAAAAAAGGTATCAGGATTAAGCATACCTCTCCGAACTTACCACCCTGCAGTTCTGAATCCGCCCCGTCCTCCGAGGTCTCCGCGGTGCCGGCGATGTTAACAAGTTCCCGGGTTTCGGCACCAGATGTCCCGCGCCATCGTCTCGCCAGCAAGAATGACACAGGACACTCGGATCCTTCTGCAGTAAAGCTTTAATGCATCTTGAGAGGGAGAGCATAAGCTTACAGAGCGGAGACCCCGAACTCCCAAAAACCCATTCCTTATATAGGCTGGCAACCACCGCCTCGGTCGCGTCACCCCATGATTGGCTGCAGCTCATTGGACCATATGATGCCACGGGAGAGGCAGAGACCAAGGGATGGAAAGTTACCCAGCGCCTGCGCACTAACTTGTTTACCATTCGGTGCCTGCCGGATGCAGGCGCCATCTTGTAATGGAGAATGCAGGGACGGCTCCCTACAGTGACCACCAGTAATGGGGGTGGGAGTTTTCCCAGGGCCATTGAGGGTTAGGGCTAGTACTCCTGGGAGTGGAGAGGGGCAGGTCCCCTTTTTAGCCACTGGTGGGCCAGCTCTCCCATGGTTCCTGGTGGTAATATGAGCATGAACATTATCATCACAGACCCCAGCTGAAGTTGGGCTATGGACCCATACATGGCTCTTGGCTGCAGCTCGGGCTTGAATGGGTGGCAGTGCAGGACACTCAGATTAGTTTGTCCCCGAAGGCAGTATGGCCCTGAGACATCTACATGGTCTCAGGTGCTTGCCCAGACCTTGGATATCTGTATGGCCTTTGATGGCAGGCCATGGACATCAACACAGACCTTGGCTGCCACAAACCTGGCTCTTGGCAGCAGCAGAGGCCAGGAAGTCACATGGCACCAGGTGGCAGCATAGGCAACCCTATAAGTCTGTTCCTCACTGTTGCCATGCCTTCAGTCTTCAGTCCCGCCTTTCTCCACAGCTCAGGAACCATTCCACTTCTCTCCCAGTTCTCTACCACATACGTGTCTATCTTAGTGGTACCTGTCCAGACCCTCCAGGCCTTACTGGCTTCCTGTCTGCCCAGGCCTTGACAGGGCTTGGATTTCTTATCTTTTTAAATCTTCAATTTCTCTATCCTTTTACCTACCTTTGATTTTTGGTATGCTTCAGGCTAGTTTTTCCAAGCATATCTAAATTTACCTTTGTTTTCAATAGACTTTTGGGTTATTATTTTTGGATGATTTAGCAATCTGTAACCTTTCCTGAGGTTTGGGAGCCATGCATGCATATACTGTGTAGCAGCCTCATAGGCATTTTTAGAAACTACAAATAATTCCCTCCGTTTAGTCTGGTTTTCTACTCCTCTTCTTCCAGTTTTCCCAGTTCCTTCTCCCATTCGTATATTACATAACGAATGGTTATTTTCAGAAATAATATTGAGCCCTTACCTAGTAATTGTACAGGTTTTCTGTTCTAGTAAATATTATAGCACAATGACATGGCCCCAGTCATATGTCCTTAGCTCCTTCTGCATCTCCAATGACATTAATTATGAAGGGTCAGACATTGTTGTATAAGTTTAAAAATAGTTTTAGGAAGGATAGTCTGAGTTATTGGTTTCTAATATAATCAGTTAAACTGTGTAGATTTATAATGATTTTTTAAAAATGATTTATTTTAATTATGTGTATGTGCCTGTGCCTGTGTGAGTATGTGCTCATGAGTGCAGGTACCTGCTGATACCAGAAGAAGGCATGGGTCCCTTGGAGCTGGAGTTACAGGTGAGCCACTCCACATGGGTACTGGGAGCTGAACTTCAGTCCTCTGGTAGAGTAGCAAGTACCCCTTCAGCCATCTTTCTAGCCCCTGGCAATTTTTTTTGTGGGTTTCAAATTTTACCTCAATTTCCCACTTTTTAAAAAACGTCAAAGCAACTAGTAGAACTGAGTATCTGTGTCCAGTTTTGCACAGGACACTTGGAAGGCACTGACCATCCTCTTCTTGGATGCATTTCTCTGTAATCATCCTGTAGATTCTGTGTGACATAGCCAGATAAGAAATAGAATTAGGAAATAAGTCTACTACTGAGGTTTTGGGGGCCTCCTTTCCCAACAATCATAAAATAGATGAATGATTTCTGGTTAACAACTTGAAAGACAGCATTGCATTCATAGTGGTAGCTCTCTTGTCAAGGTGACAGAGTGCTTGATGTATATAACCTAAGGGGGAATCTTTCTTTTGCTTAGGATTTTAGAGGTGTCAGACAAACATGGAAGTAT